CCCCCCAGCCCCCCGCAGAGTACTTCATAACCAGCACTTATCGTGCATTCCAATGCATTCACCTTGACAAAGTGTTCATAGTAGTCTTTCACAGCCTCGTGACTAAAGCTTCTATCCATCAGCTGACGTCTCTTTCTTCCCTCTGGACCATTGGCATACTGAATGCTCTTCTTTCCGATAAGAGGCTCAAACAGTTTGAACAAATCCGCTGTCAAAAGGTAGACAGCAAAGTATTTGAACAACAAGTCACCCATCTGACAAATTCCAGCTGTACTTAAATTCTTAAACATGTGATTGACAACCACAACAACAAGCAATTTCATTTCCCCCATCTGGCCCTATTTACAATATTACAGATATTTACAATATTTAAATAAGAGAGAGGGGGGCCTGGCTTCCTGAAGTAACTGGATCATTAAAAAAGGCCCGCAGCCAGTTTTACAAATATATATAATTTAATAAAATGAAACACCTAAATTGTACTGTGCGTGCAGCTCTTAAAACTGCCTCTTGTAAACATCTCGAATTTTCAAAATCCCCCACTTTGCACCCAGATTAGTTGAGATAATCAAACTGGAGATAAGCTATGCATCAAAATATTACTAACTTGATTTCATAATAGTCTGTTTATCAAGTTTTCTTGTTTTACAAAGTCTTGCACATTTTTGTTACAATTTTACAGACTTTGAAGCCATGGAAATCATAAAGGGTGTTTTATTTTTAATTCTTACATTATGCTAGTTAATTTCAGTCATATATGTTAAACTGAGAACATGTATAAAATTTTCATTTATCCAAATATTTAATGTTGACCACCAACAATTAATTAACGCGTTTCTAATACGGGTTCATTAACATTTTCAGCAGGAGGGAAATTGGTTTTCACAGTGAGCAAAATGTTTTAAACCAAATTTCTTTATAGGAAGGTCAAATTTTCCTCCAGCTGTTTAAACCAGGTAGGCAAAATCATCCTCTGACAGCTGGTCAATTTGCCCGGTGCCCAGGCCTTAATGAAATCCCTGCGCTTCATAGAGTTGCTTGACTGCTTAGTTTGGTAATTCGCTTTGAATTCTTACTTACGAGGTCTATCAAACAGAGGTTGTACTTCTTTCCAATATTCTGGTGATGCCAAACTGACAACGTATTTCTTGCCCCACCAGAAACCTGCTATGGTCCCATACTTCTCATGAAGTAACATCAAATACTCATGGAGACTTCCTGCTTTTCCCATGTCACCAAGATTTCCCATCCTGAAATGATAAGTTTAAAACAATCTGCTTTAATTTGTGTTGTTTCCGAAAAATCATCACCAACGTTTTTTGGATCATACCCCACGCCTCGTGCAATTCTACTTTAGTCTTAGGCTAAGCCCTCAGAATCTCCAATGCATGGTTGCCACAGACATTACCTTTCAAAATTCCTTGACTTCTCCCAGATAAAATTAACAAATCGAATGTGGTTTAGCATGGTCTGTACTCTTATCGACAACAATACACGTCATCACAGTGGTCAAAATTTGTTGTGCTGCGTCTCGCGAGTCCACAACATTTTGACCACTGTGATGACGCATATTGTTGTCAATAAGAGTACAGACCACACTAAACCACATTTCGATTTGTTTTTTACCACAATATTGACATCAAAGAAAATGTTTTTTTCAGTGTGCAAGCTGAAATAGGCATTGCATGACACATTGACGTGAGCAGTGTTGTCTGGACTCTTATTGGCAACGGCAAATTAGCCATTCAGATTGCAAGATTAGTAGCAATTGTGGTAAAAATCAATTTTCCCTGACCAAACAAATACAAAATTTCAGATAAAGTAGCAGCTTCTAGTCTCAACTTAGAACTGTCCTTTCCACTCTGATATGTTTTCAACAAATTTTCCTTCTTCATTTAGGGAAAAATATCGTGGAGCTCACAATGACCCAAAATGTTTTCTTCCGACCTTCAATGGTATTAAATCAGCCGTGTTAAATTTTTATTTCAATTTTTCCCTGACTTTTCTTCAAAATGTCAATTTTCATGACTCAAAAAAGCATTCCTTGACTTTTCCCTGACCTTGACAAATTTTTCTTTTCCTGACCATTTCTTGATCTGTGTCAGCCCTGCAATCCTCGAATAAATGCCCGAGGCGCTTCTTTCAAAATTAGGAGAAGATGGAGGGCGCTTATTCAAGGGGGGTGTTCAATCGAGGGGGCGCTTGTTAAATTTTTCCCAAATTGTGGCCTGACATGATCATTTTTTAATACATCATCTGCACATGAACAGCAACATAAGCTGTTTAATAACATAAAAAGCTGATCCTAAAGTTTAAAATATTAATTGTGGCACCGTTAGCACTTGTAACTTTTTTACAAACCTAACGTGGTCACAAACTGAAAAAATGTACAAATCTAATACTACACAACGAAAACTTTACATCCTTTGTTGTCTTATTACTCGTCCACAAGATCGGGGGAGGGGAGGGAGGTGCTCATTTGAGGGGGGGCACTTATTTTAAATTTTGACGAATGCTGAATCATTACAAATGTGATGGCGAATAAGAATTAGTAGATGCATGTCACTGTTAAATTTATCCTTAGCTTAACATTNGGGGGGGGGGGGGGGGGGGGGCAAATTCAAGGATTTCTGGTATGCAAAGTTCTCAATTTTTTTTGTCAAAACTAGTGCCATAGGTAAACTTAGGAGTAAATTAGGGAGTAGCATTTCAATACTGCATGGAAATCAGAACACAACACTAACACTAAAAAGTCACCAAGCTCAGTACCAAAGCCTGACTTACTCTGGATCTGATGGTTCTTCTCCTGGGATTGACGGTCCTTTTGATACACCCCTCTATAAAAGATGAAGAGAACCTGATTTGATTTTAAAGTAACTCATGAGCTGTCCACAATATTTGAGATGGCATTTGCAATGAACGTTCTTCCTGATGTAGAGTTAGAACAGTAAGACCAGCAGCTACACCTCCTAAAAATCGCCTCACAGCTCTCTTGACTAACTGACGGAATAACAATTAATAATAATAATTATTGTTCAGGGTATAATCTGCACTGGGTGTTGGCAGCATTTCAGTGGTATATACATGTAGACAAAGACCTCCAATATGGCACAAAGGCATGCTCTCGTGCTCATTCAGGAATATTCAATTCTTGTTTTCTGAGAGTGAAGCTCAGTGGAAACTTTGAACTGTGAGGAAGATATGATGTATAAGGACAATAATTTAAACAATAACTTACAATTGTTGTAAAAATAAGCTTAGATATTTTCCCTCGCTCATAACCTTGAACAGTGTGTACTACTGTGACATTAATAACCTTTTAACTATTTTTTTGCAATACACAAAGTCTTTTGAAAACTGAGGAATATCACTTGGATATTCCCCAGTTTTAGCTGGGGTATATATATTCAGTCACATGACTAATCTCGTTCCCAGAGCCCACGTGTCTTTTGGTCAGCACCTGACCAAAAGACATGTGGGCTCTGGGAACGAGATTGTCACATGACACATTTAGACCAATACCGGTCCCATGTGATAAAAAATGTTTGATGGTTTATAACTACGGAAAAGCCAAAAGTACACTGAGGCTTCAAAGCCCTGCTGGCGTTTCGAATGCTTGCTTGTCTGTTGAAAACATCCAGTCCAGTGACGGATCCAGACCTTGAGATAAGGGGGGAGGGGAGGGGGGTGTTTGCTTGCCCTGCCCGCCTGCCAGCTTTTCTTCCTTCCGCGATTTTTTTTTACCCAATATAAGGGCGGCGGGCTCCCGAGCCCCTCCCCTAGATCTGCCACTGCAGTCCTATTCTTGGGGATGACAATCATACATGTACGAATGTAAAAGACAAATGTTGAAAACTGAACTGGGTCGGGTCACTTGGGAAAACCATGGGTAATTTCGACTGGGTCATGCGACGCGTTTACACTAGTCATAATGGATTTGTTAATTAAGCTACATTTAGTATGAACCTCGCAAAATTCCTAGGTTACGTTGAATCATTTGTGCAGCAATGACACGACGAGATATTTTTATTCCTAACAACGTATGGCGATCAAATGACGAGGTCTTAAAAGAAACTAGTTTTGTAAATCTCATATGTAAATTAATGGGTATTAAAACGCGGTATTTCCTGATCAAGATGATCGATTCTTACATGCATGCGCGCTACACCGTCCCGTAAAACACAAAATTTGTTTATCAAAGCTCACTTACGAAGTCAAACATGAACAGAAGCACGACTATCAGCCCAAACACCATCACCACCGCAAACACTCCCAGATCATTAACAGACAAATGCGAAGGAAACATCTTTTCTGTTCTCGAACCAATCTGCTCAACGTCAGCAACTCTCTTTCATTGATTCCAAAACGCTTTGCTCCACTCTCTCTGCCCCAGACTTGTCGAGCGATCGTTTTGCGCGGGATCTGGACCCAACCCAAAGTAAGCCGCAAAACTGTAATGCTTTCATTACGCCAAAAATTCCTAAGGGTGGCAAAGGGTTTTTCAGGTTTTTGCGAAGAGAATATGACACACCA